AGAGATTAAACCTCAGTCTAATAGTGAAATCAAGTACTTTAATAATAAAAAAAAAAATAAAAGTAACCTGTAGCATTCTCCCTCATCTTCTCCTGCACACACTTCTTAACTTCCAGGCCGATGGCTTTGGAGAGGGGTGGAGGCACAGCATTACCAACCTGAGAAATACAGGACACCGATTAGTGATACTACATTTTTTCCCCCCCCAAAAAGGAAAAAACAATTTTAGCTCAGGTTTCATACCTGTCGGTGTTTGTCTAAGATATTGCCAAAAAAGCGGTAAGTGTCTGGGAAGCCCTGGGAGCGCGCACATTCCCTAACACTCACAACACGGTGCTGCTCAGGATGGAGGACACGTCCCTGTAGACACAATTAACAGTATTACTGCAACCAGGTACAACTTTTTGCCAATTAGTGTTGATACAATTCATATCATGACTAGTTAACATATAGCATGTTTGCAACACCTGCTTGCCCATGGGCTCAGGATTGGTAACTGTAGTGCTGAAGAACCCGTCCCATTCCAGACGGCCGTACAGACCAGCCCAGTGATTGTGGCGATTACCCGTGTGAGGCAGACACCAGGGAATCAGCGTGTTGAACTGCCTGTCTGCAGGGTCACACGGTTTTCCTAGTGCAATGAGAAACCGTAACTGTCAAGTCAGGATTTCTATTATTATTTTAAACAAACAAAAAGATCCATCTTATTTTTAATTTTTGGGTAGGACCAACCCTCAGCACAGGAACACACTCCTCTCAGTGCACCGGTGCCACTGCGGCCATTCTTTTTGTCGGAGTGAGTGTAGCGAAGCTTTTTTGAGGTGGTGCCATCCCGCAACCGCACCTCAATATTGGTCAGATCCCTCCAGTCAGAACCAGGAGCCAAAGGAATGTGACGCATACGGGCCGCCACCAGGGCGCTCATGTCCTACAACACAAATCCAACTATTTAAAACCGCTAAACCAGTGGTTTACACCAAAGTGCCTTTTCTCGTCGCAAGACCTAAATACACATTCAGGAGGCTAAAACAAGCTAGTCATCTAACCCGTTAAGAGGCGCATTAAGGGTTAAATGACGAGCTTCTTTTATCCTGTTGACTAACTTCCTGTAGGTCTCACAGGAAATCACTTTCCCGCTTCCAGAAAAACTTCGGCCTTGATACAAGTTCATTACATCCTGCAAATCAAATGCAAAAATATCACTTTTTATTTTTCTGGGGGTTTGGCAAAAGGAGAGTGGGACGGTGGGCGGTGCTCGGGGTGGTGACTGAAGGCAGTGAGTAGTTCTGATGTCACCTTTTTACGGAAGTCACAACGGTTCGTGAAAAATGACAGCTACTTTATGCAGGCTGTGTGCATTTTACTGTGGACTGACTGTTTTGAAACTTATATGGTAGTTAAATAGCCCCTAGACCTCAGTTATCGTGAAAAAAAAGCCCCAATATGGGACCTTTAATACTATAGAAAAGCATTAAAAGTTTTTCAGTTAGTGTTTTCAGCTTGTTTATTTTCATATAAAAATACAGCATGCAGTTGCATCAAACAATGGTATAAACATCATTCAGTGTAAATTGTGATAATCGTAATTAATATTCGCAATTACAATTTCAAGGGAATAATCGACAATTATGATTTTCATAATCGTGCAGAGTAACTCAAACGGAACTGACCTTACAGATGTGGTCCCTGAGGATGGGCTGGTACTGAGAGCCACGAATGTGCCTTTGGAACCAGGACTGCGGCTCACCGTTATAGGAGATTTCCAGATATGCGGCTCCGTTACGGATCTCTGGAAGGTCAGACATTGTGTCCCGCACTGTGATTGTGCGATAAATGCCTCCATTTCCACTGGAAAAAGTAGTGTAATTAAGATCAGCACAGCAAATGACTGTTCAATTGATGCCACCATCGGGATTCACAAATACTTACCGAGTGACATTGCTAACATATCTCTTTTCATCAACCACCACACTAAGAGAACACGCCCGTGGGGCGAACACATGTAGGGGTTCAGGGAAGCGGGGCAGCTTTTCACCCGGGGCTGCAGCCAGGATGATCGCCCTGCGCCTGGTCTGGGCCACCCCATACTGCCCTGCCTGCAAAACTCAAGACATTAGGAGAGACAAGGAAAAAAAACACCAACATTTAAATGTGCAATTAGTAACAGGACTGCACGATTAATCGAATACGATTGTCATGCGCATCTTGTCAGTAAAGCCGGTTCTGTGATCAGTAGTTAATCTCCATCACATGCTTTCAGATGGAGCATCATTTACTACACAGAGCCGTAGTTCACGGACAAGGTACACAACCACATTCATAAAATCGCAGAGGATTTAAAATGACACGATTATGAAATTGAAGTCGTTCTGCAATGAAAGCTGTTTGCGTAGCTTGTCAGTGAACCAAGGCTGTGTAGTAAATGCTGCTCCATCTGAAAGCAAGTGGAAATACCACATTTAATAACACTTTTACTCCAAACTCACTTCATAACATCAGTCGAGTGTTTGTAGTAAATCCTTCTGTGAGATGTGGCTTCTTACACAGAATAAGGCAAGCAACATTTCATAATATTCCAAGCAGTAATGAAGGCTGTCGATTAACATTGCATTATATACCGAATTATAATTTTATATTATAATAAAGACGAACTCTAATAAACATGACTACAAAAAGTTCGTTTTAGGCAGTTAAATCTTGTTTATTCAGTAACCGCTATAGGGATTTCCTGATTTCTTCTGCGGGCATATTTTGAGTTTCAGTGCAAGAGCACCCTCTGGCTTTACTACTGATCACAGAACCGTGCTTCCCAGACAAGATGCGCATGACAATCTCAGCTTTTGTCGAATCGCGATAGCCATTTAATTTCAATTATAAGTGCAGCCCTACTCAGTAGTCCACTAAGTTGAGATCGATCAATCAATCACTTCATTACATTTAAAAAAAAAAAAGAAAAAAAAGTCTGACTTGCCTGTAGCACACCAAAGGTGCACTGGTAGCCCATGCAAACAAGACAGCGCAGCGTGAGCTTCAAGACCATGGAGCGCTTGAATGACACAAAGTTCCTCACGTTCTCCAGAAGGAAGAACTTGGGTCTGTAGTAGTCACAGTAGCTAAAAGAGGGAGGGGGAAAAAAAAATAAATTACACACACTTTCTCCAAACAGGCAAACTAGTCTCATTTTTTATAGCAAGACTCATTCTGCTAACCTCAGATACGAGACAACCAGAGAGTTCTTGAACGTAGAGTATGTACGCGAGTTGAAGCGGTTCATTCCACTGAAGCCTTGGCAGGGCGGTCCACCGCAGAGCATCTCCACGTCACCCTTCTGCGGCAACTTCTGTCCAAGAGAGTTGGTCTTCTCTCCGGACATCACCAGCTTCAACAGGACATTACAGTCCTCTGTGAAGACCGTGGTGCCTGGATTGTTCAACCTGAATGCCTGAGCAGCAGGATCCCACATCTCTATGGCCCAATTGGTCTCAGAAATACCTGTTGTTTGGGAAATGTATAAAATCCAACACAACAGGGGTGCTCAGAGTGGACTGCGGTCTGGTTCTAGTAGTTTAAGTCTTTGGTTCTTTTAATTATGATTTTGGCTCACATTTAACAAAAATCCACCAATTCACTATCTCAACAAATTAGAATATGGTGACATGCCAATCAGCTAATCAACTCAAAACACCTGCAAAGGTTTCCTGAGCCTTCAAAATGGTCTCAGTTTGGTTCACTAAGCTACACAATCATGGGGAAGACTGCTGATCTGACAGTTGTCCAGAAGACAATTGACACCCTTCACAAGGAGGGTAAGCCACAAACATTCATTGCCAAAGAAGCTGGCTGTTCACAGAGTGCTGTATCCAAGCATGTTAACAAAGTTGAGTGGAAGGAAAAAGTGGAAGAAAAAGATGCACAACCAACCGAGAACTGCAGCCGTATGAGGATCGTCAAGCAAAATCGATTCAAGAATTTGAGTGAACTTCACAAGGAATGGACTGAGGCTGGGGTCAAGGCATCAAGAGCCACCACACACAGACGTGTCAAGGAATTTGGCTACAGTTGTCGTATTCCTCTTGTTACGCCACTCCTGAACCACAGACAACTTCAGAGGTGTCTTACCTGGGCTAAGAAGAACTGGACTGTTGCCCAGTGGTCCAAAGTCCTCTTTTCAGATGAGAGCAAGTTTTGTATTTCATTTGGAAACCAAGGTCCTAGAGTCTGGAGGAAGGGTGGAGAAGCTCACGGTTTTTGTGTCCCCCACAGGCAGTCATGATTTTTAAACAATACTGCATTTGTGATGGGCAATTTCTAGACAAATGAAACTGAACAGAGCACAGCAAGAAGAAACTCATTCTGAACAAGTTTCCATGATACCTCAAAGTTATAAATCAAAGAGTTACCTTTCCCCTTTCCTTTCCCTTTGCCCTTATGCACTGCTGATCGTGCATGATTTGGAGGATCCTCAAAGCTCTTAGTCTTGGCATTGTATGCCTAAAGAGAAAATACTTAAGACAAAAACCTTGCTCTAATGCTTTATTGAAAGTTTTGTAGTTCAGCTGGGAAGAAAAATAGGCACACCATGGCTCGTTGGATCAATGCCACCATCCATTTGTTTTTTTTTAACACCCATCCCTCATCCTCACCTCTAGGAAATAAAAGCGATCAGGTCCTCTGCTTGAATAGTCCTGCACACTTTCCACCAGGTCCTCTGCATACTCCACTTGACAGCGGCCTAGCACCTCCGCCATGTTCACGGTCACCTCTTCATCACTCCAGTAAAGCTGGTTTATGTCAGAATGGTAGGCACCCTTTGGTCCTTTATGAGTGTTTTCAGGCCTGAAAGCAACAGTCATCATGAAAAGAACTCGGGTGATGTTTATGTACAGCCTTAGTGGAAACTTCAAGCTAAAGTTTGTACTTCAAGAAGCTATATTAGTCAACAGACCTGCTTAAAAAGGAAGAAAATGTCACCTGTAAAATTTGTAGAGCCGCAGTTTGGGATCCATTCTATCTGGCTTTCCATCACTGCGCTTGTTGCAGAAGATTTCTTTGATGCGCCCAATACGGAAGGGCTTCGGAGCATCTAGGTTTGAGCCCTTGATGTAATCAGAGGACTTCCTGTAGTATTCTGGGTAAAGATCTTCATCAACATCATCTTTCCTGTGAGAACGCTTAACAGGGCTTGCAAGCTTTTCCCTAAAAGGGAAACATACCTTTAATAAAATGGCTCTCACCCTCAGAATAGCTTAAGGCAGGGAAAAAAATAAAATAAAAGCCTACGCAAAATTGAAGGCCTCTGGGGGAAGATAGACACTGTCCCCTACTCTGTGCTGCTCGCCCTTTAGGGTCGCCAAACCATAAAAGACTTTAGAGTCGCTCTCCTCATCCTCCAGGGGTTCATAGACATTAGGCAATTCCTGAGCCTCTCGTTCCCTATTCCTTACGCAGCTGGCACAGAACCTGCCATAAAACGGGTCATGTAGAAATGCATGCACAGGAAAAAATAAAAAACACCTGTAAGAAAGACCAGGTCTAAACGGAGCACTCACTTATACTTGCGGTCCTCTGACGGTGTGACCTTAGGTGGTGACTCAAAGCGGGCGCATTCACCATCATACAAGAGCTGATAAAAGAAGCTTTCACCATCACCTTCGATCACTTTAATGTCATCATCCATCCCACCCTGAAAGCATACAAATATTAAAATCTCCTGCCCAGTGTGATACCGACACAACGTCAGACTTCAGCATCTGTACCTCCATGAACCAGTTTTCAGTTGGAGCCTTGTAGAGGACGTTGACCTTGCCATGGACAAAACTCAGCTGCATATCTTCACACTCATCTACAAGAAAGAGCTCAAGAGGGTCTGATGACTCTCCAAGAACAGTATCAGTGCCACGGCAAAACCAGTGCGCATGAAACATCTTCTCTCCATCCTCCCACAATGCCATAATCCTATAATCATAACGAAAATGTTGGCTTACCAATTTAAAGCAATACAGTGCCAAGAACCCAGGTTAGCTTCAATAAAGGTTACCTGGCCAAGTAGAGGGGATGTGATGGGTCAGCAGGGCTGACAGACACACAATCTCCAACCTCCACCACCTCATTCTCCACACGCACTTTCATGTAGTACGCCTTCCTGCCATCAGTCTGAAAAGACAACATCAATACCTCAAGTCCAGCAAGTGGGCATCCAGGTTCTTATTGTAAGAGAGATCACATACCTTGATGGGCTCGCCCACCCAGCTGATCTTATTCTTAGTCTGTTTTTTCTTTTTTGCCTGAGATATTTTCTTTGTCTCCTTAAGTGGCAACACTTCCTCCTCATCCATATTCTCATCATCCTCAGCTTCTTTCACTGCCAGGTTGGGACATCTGGACAAGGGACAAGACTCCCATTTAGCTTTATTCTGGCAAACAAATCCAAGGCCATAGAGCTGGATAACAAACTGGCAGGAAATAAAGAGCTTCTCAAAATGGTTTTCCTAATCTCTATACAACAGGGGGCAACATGCTGACTAAAGATGATTCTGCTCTTTATTAGCATTAGCACAGCACTGAACACATACGAAACATGGACACAATGAGGCACTGCAAAAGCAACAAGTTAGGGCAGATTGTAACAACTGACTTAAAGCACGTCAAAGTCGGTTTGACCAAGAAAAGCTTCTAAAACTACAGAAATTAAAATGTTACACGATTAAGACTTTAGTTAGCAACATCTGCTCAGGAAGGAGTGAAATCTAATGGCAAATCAATGTATAAATTCTCGCACTGTCCTGTAAAAATTGACACCCTCACTTTATTAAAATCAAACCAATTAACAAAAGGAAAAGACTAGTGATTACTTAAATGCAAGTCAGATTTAGAAGGATCAGATGAATGTAGCAAATACAAAAAAATAAAATAAAAAAAATCATGTTAGTCACAAAAAAAAAACCCACACACACACACACACCAGTGACTGACATTTAGTCTCATTTCACAACACATGGAAACAATACTACATTTCTGCCAAGCAGAATTACGCAAGTATGAAGACTGCCCACAGTTAGCATACCTCCTCTTCTGACAGGCCTGTTTACTTCTGCCACTGCCTCCAAACTTGATCATATCCTTACAGGCTGAGCACTTGCCACAATCTGGTGCCTGACACACCTGAAAGAAAGAAATGCCACCTTGACACATTGCAACCAAACTATGCTTGCAATGTCAAAGGCAATTTTTGGACAATCTACCTCACAGACACC